TTTTTCTCCCCAGCCCAGAACCCTGGGTCTATACTTTGTTTCCCTTTAGGAATGACAAATCATAAAATAGACTTTCCTCATTTTGATTTGGAGCAAGATGGAATAAGAAAGCATAACAGGCCACTAAAAATCTCTAGATTTACTACCATGCTGGCTTTCCCCTCTTTCCTATGGCTTGTGTCCTCAAACATGTGGTGACCAGCATGGTGGCCACTTGCCACACGTGGCTGTTGAACACTGTGAAATGTACTAGTCCAAATTGAAACATACTGTAAGTAAAAAGTAAGTACTGTACACCGAAAGTCTAAAAATGAATAAAACGGCCGGGCGTGGTGGCTCAAGCCTGTAATCCCAGCACTTTGGGAGGCCGAGGCGGGTGGATCACGAGGTCAAGAGATCGAGACCATCCTGGTCAACATAGTGAAACACCGTCTCTACTAAAAATACAAAAAACATTAGCTGGGCATGGTGGCGCGTGCCTGTAATCCCAGCTACTCAGGAGGTTGAGGCAGGAGAATTGCCTGAACCCAGGAGGCGGAGGTTGCGGTAAGCCGAGATCGCGCCATTGCACTCCAGCCTGGGTAGCAAGAGTGAAACTCCGTCTCAAAAATAAAAATAAAAATAAAAAATAAAATAAAAATGAATAAAACATCTAAATACTTTAGAAATATTGCTTCTATATTGAAATCATAATATTTTGGGGGATTGGATAAAATATAGCTTCGCTTGTTTCTCTTTACTGTGGCTACTAGAAAATTTAAAATTACATTTATGGCTTGCATTATATTTCCATGAATTGTATTGTTTAAACCCCATTTCTTATTTGCAGATGATTTCGGGAGGCTTAAATTTTGTTATTTATTTATTTATTTATTTTTTGAGACAGGGTCTCACTTTGTCACCCAGGTTAGAGTGCAGTGGCACGATCTTGGCTTACTGCAGCCTCAGCTTCCTGGGCTCAAGTGATCCTCCCACCTCAGCCCCACAAGTAGCTGGGACTATAAGGAATGCACCACCACTCCTGGCTAAGTTTTTTTGTATTTTTTGGTAGAGATTGGGTTTCACCATGTTGCCCAGGGTGGTCTTAAACTCCTGAGCTCAAGTGATCTGCCTACCTTGGCCTCCCAAAGTGCTAGGATTACAGGCGTGAACCACCACATCTGGCCAATTTTGTTATTTTATAATCAACACATTTTTAAATTTATAATCAATTTAAGTATATTTCCTCAATATAAAAATTATAAAATACCAAAAAAAAAAAAAAGAGGAAAATGACTCAAAATATACAGCAAGAAATAAATTTGTAGAACTTTAAACAATGAAGTCCCCAAATGTACCCATTGTATGCACCCATTTCCTGGACTCATTTCAATTTCATATGCAGGGCTAAATCAGAATGGCAAAAGAAAGCCATGACATTCTGTACTTAACTTTTGCTGTGTGGGCTATATCAGTTTGCTTTGGGCATTAAGAAAAAAATAGTTTTAGTGTGTATAGCAACTTGAGGGAAAGTGGAAAGAAATTCATGTTACCTTCTCTTTTTTTTTTTTTTTTTGTCGGGGGATGGAATCTTGCCCTGTTGCCCAGGCTGGAGTGCAGTGGCACGATCTTGGCTCACTGCAACCTCTGCCTCCTGGGTTCAAGCAGTTCTCCCTGACTCAGCCTCTCAAGTAGCTGGAATTACAGGTACACACCACCACACCCGGCTAATTTTTGTATTTTTAGTACAGACAGGGTTTTGCCATGTTGGCCAGGCTGGTCTCGAACTCCTGACCTCAGGTGATCCGTTTGCCTTGGCCTCCCAAAGTGCTGGGATTACAAGCGTGAGACACTGCACCCAGGCTCATGTCTCTTCCAGTGAAACCAAGGGATTACAAGCCTGAGCCACTGCACCCAGGCTCATGTCTCTTCCAATAAAAAAAAGAACCAAGAAAGAAAAGGAAAGAAAGTGTGTTTCCTGGGCAATCCCTCCCTCATTTCAAAACCGTGCTAAGATGATGCTGGTTTGCCTTGTGCTAATGTGAGCTCTGCTCTAGATCTTCTCCCAGAATGCAGGCTGACTTGGTATTCCCAAAACAGACTTTGGCTGGTTTCCTTGCGTCAGCTTGGCAGGTGTGCATGGTCTCTGGTTTCAGTTGGCAGAAGATTTACAACTGGTTACAGAAGAGGAGCTTTGAAAGGGCGGAAATTTCCCATCAGCATACCCCTCAGGTGGAGGCCTCAGGTGGCACAGAAAAGAAATGCTGAGGCTTGCTCCAAAAAGTTTCCGCTGAGCTCTGTTGTTCAGTATGTTTATCTGCAAACTATTTTATTTTTTATTTATTTATTTATTTATTTATTTTTTGAGACGGAGTTTCACTCATGTTACCCAGGCTGGAGTGCAATGGCACGATCTCGGCTCACCGCAACGTCCGCCTCCTGGGTTCAGGCAATTCTCCTGCCTCAGCCTCCTGAGTAGCTGGGATTACAGGCACGCACCACCATGCCCAGCTAATTTTTTTTGTATTTTTTTAGTAGAGACGGGGT